AAAAGCCAGGCGTGGTGGCTCATGCCTGTAATCCCAGCACTATGGGAGGCCAAGGCGGGCAGATCACAAGCTCAGGAGTTTGAGACCAGTCCGGCCAATATGGTAAAACCCCTTCTCTACTAAAAATACAAAAATTAGCTGGGCATGGTGGCGGGCACCTATAATACCAGGTACTCGGGAGGCCAAGGCAGGAGAATTGCTTGAACCCAGGAGGCAAAGGTTGCAATGAGCCAAGATCCCGCCACTGCACTCCAGCCTGGGCAACGGAGCAAGACTCCGACTCAGAAAAACAAAAGATAACCAAACAAATGCAAATAAATGGGCTGATGGCCCTGTATAAGAAAGAAGCACAACCTAAAATCCAGGTATTCAAAAGGATGGCAACAGCCCCCACACCCTCACTCACAGGCTGCCCACACACCTCTGTGAGCACGGCTCCACTGTGTAGGTTTAAAAAAAAAAAAGAAAAGCACAAATGAGATCCTCATACAATGCAGTAAACTTACTCTTCCTGCACAACGGAGTGCAGCAGAGAATGTCCTTCCATGTCACCACTTAGACCTGCTCACTGTTTGAAGGTGGACTGCACAGTGACATGATGTAATTACCCATCTCCGTGGCCCCGAAGAGCCAAGGGTTTCTGAGGACTTGCCAGTTGCAACGTCCATGCTGTTTCACCATAAACTGCTTGGGGAAGGAGAGGGGCCTGGCTGAGAGGCTCAGAGCAGATCTGCGGACGGCTCTTGGGGAGGCCAAGGCAGTCCTCAGACTGAGCAGGTGAGCAGAAGTACCAGAAATCACAGATGTGGCAGGCAGCTTCTCACCTGCAGGTACCGAGGGGACTCAAAAGGCACAAGGTCTGACAAGAACTTGAAGAGGAAAACCAGTGCCTTCTTGCTGCAGCCATGGTGGCCTCGCGCACTCCCAAAGGAGGCCTGTGTGGAGAGAAGAGCGTGAAACCCAGGACAGCCAGGCAGTGTCTGGCTGCTGCTCTAGTCGGCCTCCTAAACACAAAAGGAAGAAAGTGAAACAACCACAAGTCATTTTGGCTCACACATTTACAGATGTCATGGCTATGATTTCATTGAAGGGACGGTCTAAAAGTTATTCAAATAAAAAAGTTAATAATTAGCTACAGTAAACACTAAGTATGGTATCTTTTCGGGACCCGTAGGGGTACAATCTGTTAAATGCCCTAACAAGTGTTTGTGCACAGCAAACAAACTGATTTTGTTGGATGAAGCCACTTCTGAACACACTTAACTTCTAACCTCATCCATCCGCGGACAGATCACCGCAAGAGGCAGCTGAAGAATGGAGGCCAAGGAGGGCCACCCCAGACAACGAAACTGCAAGACCCTAGGCAGAGCAAGCGTGGAACAAGAGCAAACCCTTTCAGGAACCAAGGGGGCAGCGGCAAGGTCCCGGGGGCAAAGGCTGCAGTGAGTCAGGAAAGGAAGGAGGTTTTATAATGGGCATCGCCCTGAACGCATCACAAGTGAATCTGCAGAGAAAATGTGTACATACGTGAGAACGGAACGACTTACCTGCACAAACACATGAGCTTCTGCCACACTGGCCATGTGTGAGCACACAGGATATCGCAGTGAAGCCTCAGTGGGTTACTATTCATCATGAAGCCGGAACTGCAACATGAACTGAGGGCTTACTACGGTCTTTCTCAAAGTGTACATTCTTCTTTTTTTTTTGAGGCGGAGCCTTGCTGTGTCACCCAGGCTAGAGCGCAGTGGCGCGATCTCAGCTCAATGCAACATCCACCCCGCCAGGGTGGAGCAATTCTTCTGCCTCAGTCTCCATAGTAGCTGTGACTACAAGGATTTGCCACCATGCCCGGCTAATTTTCTTTTCTTTTCTTTTTTTTTTTTTTTTTTGAGAGAGTCTTGCTCTGTTGCCCAGGCTGGAGTACCGTGGCACAATGACAGCTCACTGCAACCTCAGCCTCCCGAGTTCAAGTGATTCTCCCACTTCAGCTTCCCAAATAGCTGGGACTACAAAGGACATGCCACCACAACCGGCTAATTTTTTTTTCTTTTTTCTGAGACAAACTCTCACTCCGTCACCCAGGCTGGACTGCACGGGCGCGGTCTCAGCTAATGGTAACCTCCGCCTCCCAGGTTCAAGCGATTCTCTTGCCTCAGCCTCCCAAGTAGTTGAAATTACAGGTTTGCACCACCATGCCTCGCTAATTATATATTTTTAGTGGGGACAGGGTTTCATCATTTTGGCCAAGCTGGTCTTGAGCTCCCGACCTCAGGTGATCCACCTGCCTCGAACTCCCAAAGTGCTGGGATTGCATGCCTAAGCCACGATGTCCAGCCTGGCTACTTTTTATACTTTTAGTAGAGATGAGGTTTTGTCATGTTGGCCAGGCTGGTCTTGAACTCCTGACCTCTAGGTGATCCTCCCGCCTCAGCCTCCCAAAGTGCTAGAATTACAGGCATGAGCCACCACACCTGACCATCTGTACATTCTTTTGAACGTTATCACCATATACACAAACCCAAAAAGCCATTAGATAAAAAGGGGAAAATGCTGATAATGCTCATTAAATGTCTCTGAGAGGGAGAGAGTCAGGGAAAAACAGAGTTCAGAGACATGAACTGTCTGTTCCAAATACCAGGAAAACTCAATACTCGCCAGTTAAAAATTTAAGAACCGCCGGGCGCGGTGGCTCAAGTCTGTAATCCCAGCATTTTGGGAGGCCGAGGCGGGTGGATCACGAGGTCAAGAGATCGAGACCATCCTGGTCAACATGGTGAAACCCCGTCTCTACTAAAAATACAAAAAATTAGCTGGGCATGGTGGCAC